TCAGCCTCCCAAAAGCGCGGGATTACAGGCTGAGCCACCGAGCCTGGCTTGTCATTTCTATTTTTTACTAACTCACCGCATTCTGAGGAAAAAGAACCAGTTCCATGCAATATAGATTACAAGACCTGTTGTCAGTCTCCTGGCTGCGTACTTGAGCATCGCCTGCCACTGCCTAATAACACTGCAGTAACTCTAAACTACTTGTGTGTGCAGCTCTCCAGACACACCACACTCACACTCATGGCTCTGTATTTCTGCTGGTGCTATTCCCTCTGCCCTGAGCATCCTTTCCCTTCATCTTATTCGCCAGCTTCAACTAGTTTCTTTGAGACTTAGCTTAGGTATCAAGATGACCTTTTTCTTCAGGTAATTTTTAGATGATCTTTAGTCTCTTTAGATGACCTTTCTTGGTTCCACGGCTCTCCTTCCTTGTCTCCAAACAGGGACTAAATTCCTTCAGTATTTCCATCATAGAACGTAACATACCGTACATCTGCTTGTGTGTCTTCCTCCTTCATTCTACTGTTAATGGGCCAAGATTACGTTTTGTTCATTGTTTAGTTCCCATAACACTCAATCCATGACTAATGAACTCAATAGTATTGTAGTAGTCATTTTAATAACAATCAGGTAGGACCATTTAGAAGAAATCCGACACTCCAGTTTTCTCTGATCTCATCTCTCACGTCATACAGTCTGGTTGTAGGAAGGGATTTGTGCATGTTTTACCAGGGATGGATATTTACTCTAAAGATATGTGCTCATACTCTTACCAACTATGCCTTTTAAAAATTCTACCCAGACAGAGTGAGAGACAATGTGCTTTCTGATAGCACCATTCTTTTCTATGTGTAATGTTCATCAGCTTTTCTCTCTGCATATTCCTTTTTTTTTTTTTTGAGTTGGAGTCTCACTCCGTCGCCCAGGCTGGATTGAGTGCAGTGGCACGCATGCTCACAGTCACCCCAGTGTCAGCCTTCTGGGCTCCAGCAATCCTTCCGCCTCAGCCTTCCAAGTAGCCGGAACTACAGACGTGCGCTACCACAGCCAGCTATTTTTTATTTTGTTGTAGAGACGAGGTCTCGCCAAGTTATTCGGGCTGGTCTTGAACCTGCAAGCTCAGGCAATCCACTCACCTCAGCCTTCCAAAGTGCTGGGATTACTGGTTGAGCCACCGAGCCCAGCCAGCATATTCCTTAAGCAGTCACTCTCTTAACAGTGAAACAGAATAGCTGATTAAGAACATGGGTTCTGTTTCAAATCCTAGCCCTACCACCCATTCATTATAGCTGTGTAACTTTGAGCAATTCACATAACCTGTCTCCTTAGACCTCTCATCTATTATTGGGCATAAAAATAGTTCGCTACCTTATAGGGTTGCTGTAATCAGAAATATGGTTAAGCATCCAGATACATGTTTGCTGCTCTGGCTATGAATTAGAATACGTCAATGGTTTCTAGCCACATGATACTTATTTCCACTTTTACTCTGCTTTGTTGTTTTATTTTTTCCTCTCTCCACAGAATATTAGTTCCATGGGGATAAAGGCTTTGTTTTGTTCACTGCTGAAAGCCACACCTCCTATAATACTATTGTATATAGTAGGTCCTCAGTAAACAATTATTGAATGAATGATGCAAACTGTCAAATGGAAAAATAGACCAAAAGTTTCCTTCTAATAAAAAGTATAGAGGAATCCTCCTTTAATGGCTTCTAATCCTATATTTTAAGACACAAGACATTCATGCCATAATAAAAATATAAGAAAATTTATTAACATTTAAAGGCAAAAACATAATTTCAAAAGATTTAGACCTATGTCAGGCGTGATAGAGAATGAATGCTTTCTTGAAATTCAAAATCAGATCCAAGAGTATCACTTTCAGAATGTTCTGGTGGATTGGGTTTACTTTTATTTGTCTTGGATGAAACAGTCACTATTCTACTTTCTTTCTTGACAGAAATGTATTTTTTCAAAGACTCATTTTTAATGGGTTCATTAACCAAAGAACTAGTTTCTCCGATTCCTTTACTTTTCTGGTTTTCAGGAGAGTCAGAATAGGAATGCAGATCCTTTCCAAATTTCTTAGCAGGGTGTTTTTTGTTATATTCACCTGTTTTGATTATTTTCTCTGAAGATCTGCTATTTCTAGACAACTCCTCTTCTTTTCTTTGACTTCCAGTTCCAGAAATGACATCTGCTAAAGGAGAACATGTTCTTGCAATAAATCCTTCTAAAGACTCCTGCTGTTGCTCAGTGGTTGGGACTCCCAGGTTGTCTTTAGGAGTTACTACGGCTTCCTGAGTAGAAACTGGGACAGAGAAGGAGTCGAGAGGCAAAGGAATTCTGGCATCACCTGTAATTTTCTGAAACTGTAAGGAAAAACAAAACAAAAATTCAGAGATGAACAAAGTCAACCATTCTTAAAAAGTCGAGTTCAAAACTTCAATGTTATTCTGTGATCTTAAAATATTTAAGGGTCATTTTCCCCCTAATTGTATCTTGCCAAGTGAGTCTCTTAATTTAGCTATATCCAGGGGTAGGTCCACCACATTTTCAGACTTTTGTGTAATTGTGACCCATTTTCTCTCTCTTTCATTAAAAACACCAACACCAAAAAACTCTATTCCCTAAGAAAATTAACTTATTTTCTATCCTCCATGCATATATAAGCATTATCCAATCTGTAACCAAGACCAGTTGCCAAGACCAGTCTGACACTGGTTGAGATGGGAGATGGGGGCTCTAAGTAAGGCTGGAGGAAAAGCATCAGGGGACTCCTGTGGCAGGCAGGTGTTCGCTTCCATTCCCATAACCGGGTGATTATCTGTAATACACTGCCGGTTAGTTATGTCTGGATTGCTTATTTTTAAAAATTATCTGTATCAGTACTTGTACCTTCATTAGTGTTCCTTCATTGTAAGCTGACTGCATACAAATAGAAACCTAGATGAAATACGAATAGACATTTTCAAAATTTAAAATCTGGAATATTTTCTCTAATCTTTCATTTCTTCACTGAGGATAGTCTGCTTTAAATCATAAATTTTCAAAAGAATTTTCAGTTTTTTATGTGCAACTATACAGTATCATGAAATGGCACAAACTTACTAATCTCAGACTCGGAAGGGATCCCAAAGAGGTTACTGGCCCACAAGCATGTAAGCAGATGCTTACTGAAGGAAAGGTGGTAAAGAGGTGTGTGGATGAGATGAAAGACACTAGGTATGTGATACAGGCTGAAGCTTCTGGTGAGACAGTGTTTAAAATGGAGAGGGAATATGTAAGGAAATAAAGTCAAGTGACATTTAATACATCATTTTTTCTGTAACTTAATAATCCCCTTTTTGTTAAAGACTCCTAGGATCATTAAGTTCTATTGTTTACTTACTTGGATATTTTGCATTTGTCCTATGGCATTCTGCTTTGGTTCTGGTGTTTCTTCCTCAAGTGCCCTCTTTTCTTCTTTAGGTGGACTACTAACAGTAGAATTCATCTGGGGATGACCTAGTAATTGAAAATCTGACTGATCTATGCCAGCCATTGTGGCAAGCTGCCCAAGCCTAGTCAAAAGAAGGAAAGGAGGAAAAAGCAAGAGTCACTATAATCATAGAGTCATTTTCCCCCTAAGAACGGTTTAGATTTCCGCAAACCTACAATCATGAAATATTTCTCAGACCTTAAAAACCAATATCCTACTCCAAACCTCAACCTCTGTTCTCTCCCAATTTCTCAGACCTTCCAACATTCATGCTCTGGGACCAACCACATCAAATTATCCAATCTTCTAAGCACTCTCTCTTCTCCCAATAATGTATTAAATGTCACTTGACTTTATTTCCTTACATATTCCCTGTCTATTTTAAACACTGTCTCACCAGGAGCTTCAGCCTCTGTCACATACCTAGTGTCTTTCACCTCTATCCACACACCTCTTTACCACCTTTCCTTCAGTGAGCAAAAATGTTTGTTCCTTCCTTCCCACACCAACCCATTCACCTACAAAACATAGCTCCATCAATTATCTATCTCCAACTCTCTCTTTTGGCATCTTCTTTAAACAAAATCATTCTTGGTTGAAAACCACTGATCTAGATATGAATCTATATCTATCCTGAAGAGTGATCAAAAGTTTAATATATAAGATAAAAATAACTTTAATTCAAACATATTTAATAAGCAAAATGAATAAAAGATAGAAAAATAACTAAACATTCCTGAATACTTTCAATTAAAACTACCTTCAATTTAGACTTCACCAAGAATTACACCTGCCAATTATTCTATCTCCAGGTTACTGCTTTAAAAAAAAACAGAAATGGAATCTCACTAAGTTGTCCAGGCTGGCCTCAGATTCCTAGCTCAAATGATTTTCCTGCTTCACACTCCCAAAGTAGCTGGGATCACAGGTACACATCACCAAGCCTGAACAGATTACTCTTTTATAACGGGCTCTCAACCAAGGCAGGCTTGCCCTTTTGCATTTCTTTTAAAGTTAATTCTCCATTTAAAAGTGGCAAGTACATTACGTATAATTACACACAAAATATGGCTCAAGGAAGCTATAAAATTGCTCACATTCCTCAGCAAACTACCATCAACGTCACAGAGGGAAGAATGTCATAGGGAGAAATGAACTAACCCAGCATCTTTAAGAAGATCCAAAAAAGCATGGAACTTCTGAAAAGAATTCTCAATGCTGCCCAAAACACCTTCATCATCCAGGATCATGCTTGTCAACGACTGTGCATGAAGGGCCTCAGACAAAGAGAAATTTATATTTCTTAACTGGGCGTTTTCATGTTCCAGCTATAAAAGAAGATTGAAAAGTGTATGACAATTTTCGTTCATTATCATCAACAGAAAACTTTTTATAAAACAAATCTAAAACATTAAAAAATGTAATTAATTTGCAATTATTCTAACACTCCACCAGTTAAGACAATGACCATATCATATACCAATCAAAACCTGGACACTTGAAAAATATCCTACACAAATAATATAAACATTATTTCATTAATGATCTTTCAAAAAGATCACATTTCTAACTGACTAAATTCATACCTGGGTCATTCTGTATTCATCTTCCCAATTGTCGGTAGTCTTGACACCATCTTTTATGTGATTGTACAGACAGTATAAGCCTAATAAGTGCATTCTTGACTTGAAGCATAATGAACAGACAATAAGCTCCAATCATATAAAACATGGGGGAGAAAAAACTACAATTTTTAGATTTTTTTAAAACATGCTTTTTGGAATACAGATCACGAGATCACTAACTATAAGTAAATACAAAGGTTAACATAGTAAACCAATTTACAACACACTATATTTTCTCACTTTAAAGTTTATAAAGTGTGAGGGAAAGGCACTTAAAATCAAACCAAGACAAAAGACAAAAACTCTCAAGATGCAAGAAAACTTTTATTTACCTCACTGACTCGTTTATCAGCCTTAAGCCTTATCACTCTTTCCTCCTTTAACTGCTTTAGGCACTCCTCCAGTTTTTCCTAGTATAAATAAAGCAAGTATTATAACGAATTAATAGTATGATGCCCGAGCTCTTCCAGCAATTGATCTTACCAAGTAATTAGGGACAGGGCCAGAAGTGAACTCAGATATCAGGATTATAGTCTACTACTTGTATAACATAACACCATGCTAATGAAATTAATTATCCAAAACATATCAAATTAGCATATTACTGTAGCTTAAAACAATACCCATTTATTAGCTCACAGTTCTATAGGTCAGAAATCCAGGCAGAAGGTAACTTTATTTAAAACTCACTCTTTGCAAAATAGATTTGTGACAGTTCACCGTAAAAGGCATACACATATAATATCTACAGAGTCAGAAATTTAAAAAACTAAAGCTATGAAAAGAAAATTCTATTCTTCTTTGCGGATTCCTTGGAATAAAAAGCCCTATTTATATACTTGAATTATGTAATTTCAAATTAAAATGCATTTTTTTAAAAGTAAACATGTTTAAAGCATTTTATTATATACCAAGCACTGTCATATAATAAATTAGTGATTTTCTAAGCATTCACTAATTTAACCATCAAAACCCTACAAGGAGAATGTGACTATTACCTCTTGTTATTTTACAGATCAGAAAACTAAGGCAGAGAGCAGAGTAATATCAAGGTCACATCATTACTTAAGCAGTAGAGTCAGGCTTTGAACTCAGGAAGTCAGGTGCTATTCCTGGTCATAGAGATAGTAATCTTCCCATTCACCAAGGTCAATAAAATAGAATGGACATGGATAAACTTTCTTATGACTTTCGTGAACCAAATCTCTAAGGTCCTTCAATGTAGGGGATACTCCCTGTGGCAGACAGAATCCTAAAATGGCCCCCAAGATTGTCTCCTGCTGAAGGACTCCCCTCCTCATTACTCAATCGAACACTAACCTAGGTGCCACTGTGAAGGAATTTTGCAGATAAAATGAAGGTCCCCAAATCAAATGAACTTAAAATAGGGAAATTATCCTGGGTGGACATGACCTAATCAAGTTACCCGTTGAAGGAACAGATTTTCCTGAAAGAGATCGGAAGTACAAAACAAGTTAAACATGAGGGAGATTCTCCATTGTTGGTTTTGAAGAAGTGAAGTACAATGCAGTCGAAAGGAATGCAAAGAGAGAGGCCTCTAGGAGCTGCAAGGATCTCTTGACTGAAAGCCAGTAAGGAAATGAGAACCTCATTCCTACAACTGCAGGAACTGAATTATGTCAACAACCTGAATAAGCCTGGAAGTGGATTCTTTCCTAGAAGATAATGCAGCCTAGCTGACACCTTGATTTTAGCTCCATGAGACTCTGAGCAGAGAACTCAGTTATGTCCCCCCTAGATTTCTGACCTACAGAACTGTGAGCTAATAAATGCATACTGTTTTAAGTTACTATGTTTATAATAACAGAAAATTAATATATTACTCTAGCTTCATGAACAAAATAAATCATAGTTATTGTATTAAGTCACTGTTTTGGGGTAGTTTCTTACTTATGCAGCAGTAAACAGAACACTTATACTTACTAAAACAGCAAAAATATATTTATATATTTTAAAGGCTTTTGACTACTCACAGAGTTTCCATTTAAAGTTTAGTTTAGCTCTTGTGGAGGGAAGGAACTCTACTGTATACTGACATCGGGAAAGAAAACTGGTACCACTTTTTGGAGTGATTTTTGGTAAATAACCACTAATTCTATGTCTGGGAGTTTACCCTAAGGAAATCATCAAAGATGTGGGCAAATATTTGCTGACCAACTTAATGTCACAGGATTATTTATAACTAAACCCTAGAAGTAAGTCAAAAACCTCTAAATTGCGATTCGTTTTTAAAAAGTAGCACACTAAAGTCTCAGGGTATAAAATAAATGTGTAAAAGTCAGTCGATTTCTCTACACCAACAGTAAACAAAGAGAAACCCAAATAAAAAGCACAGTCCCATTCAAATAGCAACAACAAAAAAAAAACAACGAAATACCTTGGCATCTTCCTAACCAGAGACATGAAAGACTTTTACAAGGAAAGCTACAAAACACTGCTCAACAAAATCAAAGATGATACAAACAAATGGAAAAATATTCCATGTTCATGAATTGTAAGATTCAACATTGTTAAGATGTCCATTCTACCCAAGGCAATCTACAGATTTAATGCAATAACCATTAAATTACCAGCAGCATTCTTCTCAGACCTGGAAATGACAATACAGGAATTCATATGGAAACATAAATGACCACGAATAGCCAAAACAATCCTCAGCAAAAAAACAACAAAGCAGGAGGTAACACACTCCCAGACTTTAAACTTTATTATAAAGCTACAATAATCAAAACAGCCTGGTACTGGTACCAGAACAGGCATATAGATCAATGGACAGGATAGAGATTCCAGAAGCAAAACCTCGATTTCTCAACAAACTCATCTTTGACAAAGCCTCTACCATCAACCACTGGAGAGAGAAACTATTCAGTAAATGGTGCTGGGAAAACTGGCTGACCACATGCAGAAGACTGATTGAAACAAGGACCCTACCTATACCATACACAAAGTCAACTCTAAATAGATCAGAGACCTAAATGTAAAACCACAAACTATAAGGTTCTTAGAAAATGCAGGACACACCCTTATGGAAATTGGAATAGGCAACCAATTCTTGATCAAAACACAAGTGCCCATGCAATAAGAAATAAGATAGACAAGTAGAACCTCATCAAACTGACAAGCTTCTGCAAAGCCAAAAAAACTATTGAGAGAGTAGGGAGACAGCCCACAGACCGGGAAAAAATATTTGCCAACTGTGTATCAGACAAAGGCCTAACATACAGGATCTACAAGGAACTCAAAAGTGCCAAAAAAAAAACCAAACAGCCCCATTACAAAGTGGGCAAAAGATATGAATAGATACTTCTCCAAAGAAGACATATGAGCAGCCAACAGATACAGGAAAAAATACTCAGTCTCACCAGTCATCAAATAAATGCAAATTAAAACCACACTGAGGTACCATCTAACTCCAGTCAGGATGGCCATCATCAATAACTTAAAAACAACAGATGCTGGAGAGGATGTGGGGAAAAGGGGATACTTCTACACTGTCGGTGGGAATGTACACTAGTACAACCTCTGTGGAAAACAGAAACCCAAATAAAAAGCGCAATTCCATTCAAATAGCAACAAAAAAAACCAAAATACCTTGGCATCTTCCTAACCAGAGACATGAAAGACCTTTACAAGGAAAGCTACAAAACACTGCTCCTAAAAGATCTAAAAGTAGACCTTCCACATGACCCAACAATCCCCCCTACTAGGAATATACCTGGAGGAACTCAAATCACTCTATGAAAAAGATACCTGCACACACATGTTTATTGCAGCACTGTTCACAATAGAAAAACATGGAACAACCGTGCTGCCCATTGAAAGAGGACTGGATTAAAAAAATATTCCATTGTGTATATATACACATTGTGTAATATATACACAATGGAATATTATGCAGCCACAAAGAAGAACAAAATTATGAACTTCACAGCAACTTGGATGGATTTAGAGTCTATAATACCGAGTGATCTACCACAAATAAAGAACTGAATATCAGATCTCACTCATAAGCGGACCTTGAACAATTATCATAATGCTTTAAGAAAGGGATTAACAGTAGGGGGAAACTGCCAGGAGAGTGGAGGTGGGATTGGCAGTAGTGGGAAACTGCCAGGGGAGGGAGGGGCACACCTCATCAACAAGGGTACCTGCATAATGAACATTTGTATACCTAACCCTGAATTGTACCCCACATCTTTAAAATAAAAAATAAAGAGTAAACTAAGCCCCCCTCCCAAAGAAACGTAGCACACCTATATAACGGAACACTATGAAGCCATTAAAAAACAACGATAAGGGTCAACTAGGATGAATGAATGGGTTTTAGAAGCTGTGTACTCAAATTTTTTCTGTACATTTTCTTAAGAGATAGTGCATAAGCTAAATAAGACTCTCTGACATAAAAGAGTATCCAAAGACACGACAAAATATTTTGACACGTTTTTAAGATAAAAGGGCATATTACAAAATACCCAGGTGTGTGTACCACACAGAGGTAGTTTTTATTTCCCTGAATGTTTTTCACTGTTTTCAAACATTTTATCAATGAGCATGTATTTTTATACCCAGATATGTGTATGGAAAATTAGTAAACACTCTAGTAACTTCAAATTCTTGAATGTTTCATTATCAGCACCAACCAAGTTTTTATGGAAAAAAGAAGCTGCAAAATTCCCCTATTTACAAAGATAATAGTTTTAAAATTTAACCAACATCAAAAAAAATCTAAATAAACATGGAAACAAACAAAAACCCCTCATTACAACTGAAAAAAAGGAGACTAAAACTCCATTCTTAACTGGTTTTAAACAGCACATCAAAGTGCAATTACATGAAATAGTTTCTCCCTCTAGTGGAGGTAGTAAGAATATAATGCTTCATTTCAAAGAAAAAGTGTTCCTCCTTTAAGGAGTAAATTCATGCTGCTTAAAGGAAATAAGGAAATATGGAACCAAACAATTATAAAGCAAAAATCACTTAATATTTCACTACTTAAAAATGATTAATGATAAAGTTTTAGAGTAATTTTTTTTCCTGAGAGCTGTTCCCTCCTTCCCATCTAGGCATAGGCAAGTTGACTTTCTGGAACACAGCTCCCTATACACGAAATTTTATCGTGTGCAATTGGAACTTTGAACAACATGGGCTTGAATTGAACAGGGCCACTTATGTGCAGATATTTTTCAGCCAAATGCAGATCAACTGTGGGGCCTGAGTATGCGTGGATTCTGGTATAAACAAGGGTCCTAGAATGACTCACATAAACTGTATATAAAATGATGACTGTATATAACATTTTATGTTTGGCATTTTTCCGTTTAACATTGACTCAATCATCTCTCATATGGTCAGAGAATTCATAATCTTGATTTCTTATGTAGGCTACAAA